TGTAGAAACCAAAACATTTTATGAGCAACAAGTCGAGTTGGAGCATCAAAAGCTCGTTGAATTTGAAAATAAGGCCTCACAGATTCAAGAACAAATTTGCAACGAGAATAAGCAATTGGAATGTCTTCTCAAAGATCAGGAACTCAAGGTCTCCACTTTGTCCAATAGTCTCGCTACACTCTCCCAAGAACGATCGCAAATTGAAAAAGAAAAACAGCAATTAATGAAGAAAACTGAAATTTTGGATAGCAGTTTGAAAGGTACCATAGAAGAGAGCACTGAGTTGCGTGATCTGTGCAATAATTTGAGAGATCAATTGAGAGAAAAACACTCCCAGTTGGATAAGGCCTTTGCCAAGAATATTGAACTGCAGGAATCCATCGACCTATATGGTACTGAATTGAAACGTATGAGAGATGTCATTGAGAATGTGTCAGAGCAACATTTAAAAACACAACAGAGAAGCTACAACTCGAAGAAGACTATCGATATCTAACCATGGAAAAGCTGTCGTTCGAACAAGAGAGAAAGGACTATCAAGTCAAAATTGAACAACTTGTACAACAACAAGCTCTCACCGAACAATTTATTGAGTCTGAAAAGGAACGTCTTCAACAATTGTTTAAGCAACTCGAGGATGAAATGACTAGAATTGAGAAGGAACATTTACTCAATGTTTGCCGAATGACAGAAAACAAACAAGTCATTCAATTGGATAAAGAAGCCACCATCATTGCTCAAATCTTGAATCTGAAAAAGATGGTGTCACAAGCCAGTTTAATGGGTGGAGTGATGATGTCTTCGCCAAGAAGCCCTTCCTCACGCAACAATTTCAACAATGCTACAAGTGCAACTTTGACCTTACGAAAAGACAGAGACACGAATGCAGCTGAATCCAAGCAACATGCCACGAGTACCTCAAAGGAAAAAGACATGATCTACACAAGCATGCCTCCGTTGAGGGTATTTAGCTCACCTCGAAAATTGCAATAATACTGTCATCGAGATGGTACCAAAATGACATGTAATAACACGTTTGTGTAATCTGTAAATATTGTATAATGTATACTTGTGAATCTCGAGATGATATGTGTCGACAATGCATATGATTATCGCTGAATTGAAAGAAATGAAAAAGTTTGAGGGTGAACGTAATAAGGAAAGTCGTTCATTTGTCATATCTCTCCATAATTATCATCAAAGAAGCCTTCATCGATCTTTGAAATGCATTGACGTGTTAAACCAGAAAAACGGTGAGGGAGAGAGAAACACGGTTGATATCGCTGTAGTGAGACTTCATTCAAAAAAGAATTCAAAAATGAACAGTGAGGAATTGCTTGCTCAGTTAATGGATAGCAAGAAGAAGGCTCGTCCACGATTAGGTTCCGTTAAAATGGATGCCAACACTCCCTCGGACTCACTCATGAAGGGAGGAGCAGGCATCGGAAGTAGTGGTGGTGTAAATGTTGTACAGGAGCATTCAAAACATTTGAAATGTAAGTAGTGTGTTGTGCTGGGGTTGTATGGATGAGATTGGCATTTTGTATTATTTTTGAACTTGCACCATCATTAATGCCTTATTTGACGCTTATCAAAATTTGACCATGATCGGGAAAACCCATTCACGCATGAACAAATGACGACGAATGGTTGTTCTTGGTTATACTTCTCTCATGACGCGTTGTTGCAATGAATTGTTGTGCCTCCTCATTCCAATCATGCCAAATAGTAACACAAAAGGATATGAAAATTCTTTTAGCCAACTTTAAGAAGAAGAGTGATAGTAAGGGTCGAATCAATCGGGAACAATTCGAAGAGGTGATCCGAACCACCTTGTCAAGTTCTCTAGATCATCAGGCACTCGCTTCCGTAAATAAGATTTTTGATGTTTTTGATAGCGATAAGACTGGACACGTCGATTTTGTTGAACTCTCTACTGGTTTGAGCAATACCTTGTACACTGATAAGAAGGAGCTATTGAAGTGTAAGTATTGCTAAGTGGTGAGATCATTGGGCGATAACCTCACCAAAATATAACAATTATCATTCGTCTATTTTATTTATCTTGACCTCTTTAATGCACAGTTGTGTACAGCTTGATTGATATCAACAACGATGGAACCGTTGAAAAGAATGAGCTATTAGCATTCTTCAAGAAGTTTTACCGTAAGTACTTGTAGTATTTTCGGGGGTTTTTGTGAGAACAAAGCATTGTTCCTTGTAATTATATTAATCCAACATTGTATCATGTCAAATATGACACATACAGTTGGACAAGCCAAAATGAATGGATACAGGCTCTCGCATGAAAGGTGGCATACGTTGGAACAACATCTTTCCTTTGCATTCGATCGAATGGATTTAGACGGAAGTGGTGCAATTGACTATGAAGAATTTATTGTTGCTGTCAATGATCCAGACTCTGCACTAGGCTATGCTTTTTATAACTGCATGAAATTTTAAAACCAAAAGCAAACTTTCATCAACAATAAAATGTAAAGAGAGCAGTTCTTTGTTTTGGTTGAACGATATGGATATCTAAGCAAATCCCGCCACACCAAAAATATTTGAAAAATTCACAAAAAAAAATATCGAAAACCCACACTTGGTTGCCTTACCACTCATCATCACCATCACCCATGGCATCCAAAGAATTTAATTCAATCTTGCTCGGTCGTACGGCCGGACCACAAGGTACACTCACAGTTGATGCAAAAAAAGATGAAACATTTATATGGAAACCTATAGGTAACGAAGCGATCATATCATCAGGAAGTTCTGTCGTTAAAAAGAACGAAATTGAAAAGTTTGAATGGCTCTACACAACAAAAGGTTTTTGCTTGCGGATTTGGAAGGACAATGAAGATATGGTCGAATACATTGGATTTAAAGAAGCCGATTATGATGCTTTAGAATCACAAATTACACAATTACAATTAGAAAATGATAAGCCATTTAACAAGGTTGACGCTTGCGTAACTGGTGTCAATTGGGGCAAACCAGCCATCAAAGGAAACAACATGACCATGTATTTTGATAATAAGGAAATCTTTTCAATTTCACTCGCCGATGATGTCAAAAACTGTCAAAACATTCCAAAGAATTCTGAATTAGTACTAGAGTTCAGAGACGATGATCCAGCCGATAAGAATTCGATACAGCTCACTGAAATTCGGCTAGTATGTCCGGAAGATACCGATGAAGACGGAGCTGCAGAAGATGGAACAAAAGAAAAGAGCACTGAAAAGAAACAAAATCCATACTCGGCTGAAACACTTCATGAAGAAATTGCTAAAAGAACAGCCTTCTCCAATGATACTGCCAATGCCATTGCTTCATTTTCTCAAACACCTGTGGTCATTCCTAGAGGTAAATACAATGTCGATCTCTACAAGAATAACCTCAGATTATACGGTAGAACTTATGCTCACAAGATTTTCTACAAACAAATTTCCACACTCTTCCTTCTTCCAAAACCTGACGAGAAACACATGTATTTGGTACTTAGCTTGGATGTACCTGTTAGACAAGGTCAAAAATCTCATTTCCATATTGTCTTTCAGTTTGATAAGGAAGCCAAAATCAAACCAGCAGATCCACTCCAACTTAACTATGATCCAAATGACTATCCAAAAGATGCACTCTCTCCCACAATGAGCGGAAAGACTTATGAAGTTTTTGCAAAAGTTTTGAGAGCCTTGACAGGAAAGAAACTCATTGGACCTGGAAAGTACAATAGTTTCCATGGCAAGAAGGGAATCAAGTGCTCACTCAAAGCCAACGAAGGATTCTTGTTCTTCCTTGAAAAATCTGTCTTCTTCCTTCACAAACCTGTTATTTATTTGAGACATGACGAAATCAAATCCATCAAATTCCAAAGAGCTGATACGACTGGAAGTGGCTCGAGATTCTTTGATTTAGTTTTTGTGTTAAAGAACGGTAAAAATCACACCTTCTCCAACATTGACAAGAATGAATACGACGCTCTTGCAGAATTCCTTCCAAGTAAGGGTCTCAATGTTGAAAATATCATTTCTAGGGAACAACCAAATATTAATGAAATACTAGGAGGTGAAGACGATGAAGAAGATGACGAAGACTTTGTTGATTCCAAGTCCGATGAAGAGGCAGAGGAGGAGGAAGATGACGACGAAGAATTTGAAAAGTTCGTGGAGGAAAAGGATGCCCTTCAATCCGAAACGGAAGCACTTCTTAAAGATGCTGGTGACATTGACGATTTGTCAAGTAAGAAGCGAAAGAAAGCAACCAGCAGCAGTGACGATGCTTCCTCTGACCCAAAATCAAAGAAGAAGAAGCAGTAATTTAGTAAAAAACTTGTGCCTGCTTTGTTTGAGTGTCTAATTAAGGTTGTTTAAACGTGTCGTGCTGAACTCGTGTGGATGTGTTCCCATTGTTCTCTTCTCTCCCTATGAGAAACCTATTTATGATTATTGGCATTCAATATTAAAAATTGACACCCTAGATGGGACTGTTTAGGAAATTTGTATATCCAAGTTTACAAAACATCACAGAGACACTTCTTTGATTTTGGGTCAAACTACTTGTTCACATGCTTCGTTTGAGTGCCTAATTAAGGTTGTTTTAACATGTATTAATTTTTAACGGCGGTATTGCTGATTCAGGAAGTATGGGTGAGCAGCTATCCAAGTTTACAAAAAATCATGCTGCAACCTCCGTGACGTGCCAGCACTTGCAAAAAAAAATATCAAAACATCTTTCCTCCAATCATCACCTTGGCAAGCCTTGCGATTGATTTCTGAGAGAAGGAAAATTCATCATCATCGTATTACCGAACTCGTTTCCCATAGTTACTACTGGTTTTGTAAAGATCTTCTTTTCTAGTACAATCCTACTACTATAAGAAAAGATTAATCTTTGTTTTACTTCATACAATTAAGTGTGCTTGTTTTCCCACTAGATAGTGTGTATTCATTCTTTTTTCATCATCATGTCTGCTTCCCTCGACGGTATTGTCAAATCAGTGGTTAGTGGTAACACCATCAAAGTTTGCCATCCTCAAAGAGCTGATAAAGAGAAAGTGTTAGTACTTGCCGATGTCAAGACTCCACGTATTGGATCCAAAAACGATGAAGACGAGGTATGTTCTTATCCAATAGTTGTTATAAATTAACTCATCGTGAATCATTATATATTTGCTCGTTATGATTTACATTGGTACAAACGACTTGAATTATATCATCCAATGTATTATTGCTGATTCATTATAATCATCGTTCTCAATTGAATTATTTCAATTCGTCTGATTAACAACATCATTGGTACAACAACATTCTGGATCACTCTTTCCACTCCGTATTGTTATTATTATGGATTCGGATAATGACCACCATCATTCAAATGACACACGATCATCATCATGTGGCTCATGATTCTCTTCGAATAGCCTTTTGCCTTCGAAGCAAGAGAATTCTTGAGAAAGAAGCTTGTTGGTAAGCCAATCAAGTTCAGAGTCGATTACACTGTGAAAGAAACCGGCTTGAATTATGCCACCATCTTTTTGGGCGACGAAAATGTGAACGAGGCTGTTGTGGAGGCTGGTTTTGGTGAAGTCAAAGAGGTCAAGAATCCAAGCGAGGATCACAAGAGATTGCTCGAACTCCAAAAAGTTGCCAAAGAAAACAAGATTGGAAGATGGGATTCTGGCAACAAAAAGATTGCCAAGACATCATCCAACAATGCCGAAATTGATACTCAACAATTGTTGAAATCATTCAAGTCGAAGGCCATCAATGTCATTGTCGAATATGTACTCAATGGTGCTACTTTGAAGGTCAGACTTCCAACTCATGAAGTTGTCTTGTTGAATTTAACTGGTGTCTATTGCCCACTCTTCATCAAGAATAAGAAGGAAGGAACAGAACTTGCTCAACCTTTCGCAAAGGAAGCCAAGCTTCACACTGAATATCGTTTGTTGAACAGAGATGTTACTGTTTTGTTTGAGGGTATTGATA